AATACCTTATATATCCAGGTAATGCATCCTGTATCCTGGCAATGCATCCCATCTTCTGACAATGCACCGGTAATGCATCGTGTCTTCTGGAAATTTACCATGCAATTGGTAATGCATTTTTCTTCTGTCAATGCATACTATCTTTTGCTACTGTATTCTATCACCCAGTAATGTATTCTGTCTTCTTGTAATGCATTATATTCTTACTAGTATCATGCTAATGCATCCTGTCTTCTTGTAATTTATACTGACGATGTGTTCTATCTCTTGGTAACGCATCCTGCTTCCTGGCGATTAATCCTATCTTGCTAATGCATTCTATCTCTGGTTTCCGATATATCCTGTTTGTCTACATTTCTGTCTTTGGTGTACCACATTGTTTACTCTAAGTATGAAACTCGTTATTGGGACATGCGTTCTTTCATTTCATTCGATCAGTACATGGTTTCACCTTAAACGGAGCTATAAACAACGCGCTGTAAACACACTTTAAAAGACACGTTCAGTATGGCTAGCTAATCCTCTCCGGTAGCTTTTGAAATGATTTTAACGTTCAGGCTCACGCAAGGAAGTAATAGATTAAGGAACGTCAAGTTTTCTCCATTCTGCCATGGCAAAATACACAGAGATGATGAATGTCACGGAGCTATTTACCAATGATCAGATGTGTCATTAAACAAGAATAACGTAGTACTGTTAACGTGGTGACAGGTTCACAAGTGTATTAATAACAGCTAATTGTATCAATAGATGACAATAAAAGGATCAGATAAACCCAAACTTTGATGACAAAACTCACTGATTAATTTATTAAGAGCAAATACACAGCGGCTTAGCTAACCAACTGTAATAACAGGAGACTAGAAAAAATAACACTTTGACAATATACCGACCAGATGCGTAGACAGCCAATTAAGTCGGCTGCGACGATTTAATACCCGAGTCAATTAACTCAACACGCTAATGAGTGAATAACCTAGGATGGGTTAAATAACGGGAAATAAACACAGAGGGTCTATCCCTAATATAAGTCACTTGGACTATAAAATAGACGAGAACGTCTGCATATCAAATTAGTCTAAAAGACTTTGTCTGAACAAGGAAATACTGAAATTCCAAAATAGCTAGACAATCACGGGAAGGTTGGTTATCCACGGATTACTAGCAAAAACCGAGTATCGGAGACCCTTGTAACGAGGTTTAGCTCAATACAACCAGGAGTTCGAATGTGTCCGGAAACCACACACTAGCCAAAATTGAGTTTCGAACGTCACCACCCCGTAGCACACCGACCTATACAAACGGCCTAACGAATCCTGGGGGTGATGATGATGATGATGATGTTGTTGATTTAACGAGCGCTTCCGGTGTTGACGTTTTCGCACTCGGGGCATACCTAGAAACATATAAAGGAATGATTAAAAAAAGTTAATTTGCAAATTTTAAAAATGCACACACAAAATTCCTTGGCAGGAATCAAGGTTTAGAAAGGGATATAAGCGATTACTCAATAATAATGGGATTATTTTGGAATAGGGGCCTTAAAAGTAGCTGGTTGGATTGATGTTAAGTGTACTTTTCTATTTACATTTGCTTGTTTGTTTTTATGAGTAGGACATTAGATCCTGCCGTTTAATTTGGTTTTGATTAGATAATTGCCTAGGTGGTAATAGTTGTAGGAATTAGTGAGGAGTTGTTGGATTGTGGTGATGTGTGTGCCTATTTCACTAAAGAGTTTATTGCATTGTATGTTGTATTGTTTACATTGGAAAATTACATGGTTAATGTCATCCACTGTGGGACATTGAGGGCAGTGGCCTGTACGATGCTTTTTAATTTTGAGTTTATGGCTGTTTAGGTTTGTGTGACCAGTGTGGAGTCTAGTTATAGCCATGTCCGTAAGTTTGTTTTGGTGGTACGTTGAGACTTTGTGTTGAGGCTTTTTCACTATTTGTTTAAGGTGTTTTGCTATCGTTGAGTTTTGGAATTTAGATGCACATTTAGCCCTGAGTTTGCTTAGAATAATTGATTTGACTTCGGCCTTGCTGTGGCCGAAGTGTGATTTCACTGTGTCCTGGGGGGTAAATACATACGATCTGACAGAAGAACATATATACTGCGCGCGGACCTCAGAGACGACAGCCGGGGAAAACAATAGTCTGAGGCGCTTAGCGAAACTGTGTTTCTAAACATGTGGAAAACACGAATAGCAAATTAACTGCTATACCCATACTGAAGGTGTAAGTGTCACAAGAAAGCACTGAACATTAGCTAACCAACGATATCATTAAAGATTTACAACAAACTATGTACAATTAGGCAAACATAAGTACATGAGTCTACATATAAATAACCTTACGTTTGAAAATCATAATTACAAAAACATGTTCGACACATAAATAAGGTAGCGAACAAGTAGGAGATAACAAACATCAAGACAATACATGAAAAGAGGGTGCCATCAAATCACAAGAGAATGAAATAATCGGGCCACTAAATCTCAAACACAGAATGGTATGACACTGTACAACGACGATCACCGGACTTTACCGAGCGGTGTCGGACAAATCCGGGGAGCGGTCAGAAGACCGTGACAAGAGTAGCTTCGAAATACGGTGTTTTTTACATCAATATACTTCATACTTGTATATATGAAAGGCATTTAAAGTTGTAGCAAACATGAAGGTGTCACCCATGAAGAAAATGGAGCAAGCCTGGCAGTGTTTTGATCTAAACCGCACATAATATTGAGCTAGTATTACGTCATACGTACATTGTGACGCAACGTATATGACTGCACAGTCGGAGTTAGAGATGGGTCAAACTTCAAGCTTGCTATAAAATTCCAAAAATTTGGAGAACACTCTCTTCGGCAATTTCTATGTTATTTTCTGCCAAAAATGCATGACCAAAAGATATTTAACCTGCAAATCACAATTTCCAAATCTCTACCGAAAATGAACAGTCCAGTATTCCAGTCGATACAGTGTGTCAGCTTGTTAGAAGGGAAACCTGAAGAGATGCAGAACGAGTATCACTTTGGTGGGTTTCACCAAAGTGATACTCGTTCTGCATCTCTTCACCAGTCGTGCTGAAATTATTATAATCAATATCTACTGTGTATTAAGTTGTGTTATATGGAAATGTAATTTATTGTTAAACAATTATTGCAACTGAATTACGTTGTTTTTGTTGAGATTCAGTAGAAGTTCACTGCATTGGATTTGGACAATGATTTGTTGTCAGGAATGTAGTACTAAATAAGCAGTTGATACTATATTTAGAAGCTCGAATTATCTGTAAATTTCCGGAATAGCATGGGTGGATTTCAAGCGTCATTGAAACGTGTTATATGCTGTGATGTTCTAGTGTCACTGGACTGGTCCAGCACTTTGTGGAAAGTGCTGGAAGCTGGTTTGAGTATATAAGTGCAGCGAGCGCGCGCCTGTCTCATCTCACATTACATCAAGATCAACTTTCGTGTGAAGATCACTTTTCACCCTGATGTTCAGCCTAGGACTAGAATAAATATTTACTTCGTCCGAAAATGTTTTAAATTAAACAATTTAAATGGAATTGTTCCACATTTTTATAGGTTTTTAAGGGCAACATGACCAGGGCAGTAATTAGTGTCACATGCTTGAAACATATCCGTGTTACCCACCTTCCACAAGTATTTAACCCCACAAATGGCAACTTAAATAACTATATTGAGCTTGTATATATTTTGAATGATTATAATATTATTTCAACACTAGGTAGTATGTGCTACAAAATGGCTGTCCGAAGAAAATCTCACTACCAATAACACCATATATATTTATATTGCTTTTCATATGTTTTTACTCAATTTGTTTTACTATGTATTATGTATGGTCTCTAAAACCCACATCGTGGGTGGCAGAGATACTTTATAGTGTACCTTTATAATAATGTATGTGCCTATAACCTGTATCTCCGATGAGACAAAAATAAACAATTTGTCATTGTCATTTGTCATTGTCATGGAAGCTTGACCACTGTTGCGGCGATTATTCTTGTCATTGTCATTTCCACTGCTCTAACGTTGTATACAGCCATCGTGTATTGTACTATCACTCTATTGTGTACTGTCATTGTAATTGCTGTGCAGTAATTTGCATTTATTTGTAAACCTAGTTAATTTTGTAACACAATTGTCGAATGTATACCATTTGTTGGTTTTTTGTTGGTTTCACACTAAATCGTTTTACGTAAAGATTTCTGGGTTAACATATTGTTTCAATTTGGGAATCGTCACGTAACAGTTGCAATGGTACAAAACCAGGTTATGGCCAAATGAGCTTAAATTACTTCCGTAATTTTACAGCAACATATCAACGTAGTTACAAGAACACATGGCAGCAACGTGCACGCTATTCTGAACATGTTGTTGCCATACATCACACTCCGTAACCCAACTTTCCCCTCAAGCTCAAAAGGTTATACTGTATCTAATTATTATCTCTGTACAAACGCTTTCTCATTACGCAAAACGGTATGCTGGACGTTATCAAAGACTTTGTTGAATTAATCAGGGTCATGTGTTGTTGATTAAATGGTTTGTATAAGATACTTCAATCTAAGATTGATGATATATATGAGATATACCAGACTTATGCGATTCCCAGGTGTGATGCAATTGATATGACCCGGGATGATATATACATTGAACTTTGACTTTGCAAATCAAAGTCGTCGAATCTATTGGAATCAGCTGTTAATAACAAACAGATGAAACATGTTGGTGCCTATGTCACGAAAGGACATGTGTTTGTACTGAAATTAACACCTTCTATTACTACCTTACGTTTTTATGAGTTCGTACATCTTTCCTTTGAACCTAGTTAGTCTGATCAGACTAAGACTGAACCTTGGTATTCAGAAACTTGCAATGTCAAAATCTTCGTTAGCTCAGTTAAGACTTATAGAAACCTCGAACCATTAGTCAAAACATTCTTATCCCCAACTGTCTGTGTCAGAACCTGGCTTATAAGAACATCTTTAGTCTGAACCTCATCAATCTGAACCTCGTTAGATCTAACCGCCTAGATCTGAGCCTCATCAATATGAACCTCATTAGCTCTAACAACCTTTATCTGAACCTCATCAATCTGAACCTCGTTAGCTCCAACCACTTTTATCTGAACCTCATCAATCTGAACCTCGTTAGCTCCAACTACCTTTATCTGAACCTCATCAATCTGAACCTCGTTAGCTCTAACCACCTTTATCTGAACCTCATCAATCCGAACCTCGTGAGCTCCAACCACCGTTATCTAAGCCTAATTACTCTGAACCTCATTAGCTCGAACCACCTTTATCTGAACCTCATCAATCTGAACCTCGTTAGCTCCAACCACCTTTATCTGAACCTCATCAATCTGAACCTCCTTAGCGCCAACCACCTTTATCTGAACCTCATCAATCCGAGCCTCGTTAGCTCAAACCACCTGTATCTGAACCTCATCAATCTGAACCTCGTTAGCTTCAACCATCTGTATCTGAACCTCATCAATCTGAACCTCGTTAGCTCCAACTACCTTTATCTGAACCTCATCAATCTGAACCTCGTGATCTCCAACCCTCTTTATCTGAACCTCATCAATCTGAACCTCGTTAGCTCTAACCACCTTTACCTGAACCTCATCAATCTGAACCTCGTAAGGCCCTGCGTCCTCAGCCTTACAATCTGAACCTCGTTAGTTCCAATAACCTTTAACTGAACCTAATCAATCTGAACCTCATTAGGCCTTGCGTCCACAGCCTGAACCGCTTTCGTCGGAATGTTTTTTTCTCAACCTCGTAGACAGACCTCATTATATCGGACACCACGTAATCAACACTCCTTCGTTTATAAGGAAACATCTTTATCATGCATGCTGTCAGACGGCAACCCTTCCGGGATAGTTCACATAGTCAACCATTGAGGTCTTTTGGTCTCACACGACGGTACGTTTTGAATTATGTCGAGAATTATCGGGAAGATAATAAAAAATATTATTACTTTATTTCATAGGTTTGAACTAAACATTTATAATTGATGCATTTGGGAAATATTGTAATAGACACGTGTCTTCCAACCTTAAAATACTACTTGGTTATTATCGTGTATATATGTTACAGGAAACAAGTATAATCAGTGATTAAGTCTAATAACTGGAAATTTCAGTGATTATGTCTAATAACTGATTCACTCGGTGGTTATGTCTAATTACTGAAATCTTCAGTAATTAGACATAATCACTGAAATGAACCAAGGGATTTTATACTTGTTTACTGAAAGCATATCCCTGCCTTTTTATAATAACTTGTGAGAAGGCTGTCCTTTCCTAAGCCAATCTCCTGTAAACAAACGGAAAGCCTCGACATCCCCAAAGCCAAGGTTCTGTAGAGAGGGCGAACTGTGACATTAAAGACATTCTAGTTGCTTGGCTTGGAGACAATGACACCAGTGATTGGACTGTAGGACTTAAGTTCGTCCAGTTTCAATACCGATTTCAATACCGATCGAACGCTCTTTGCGTCAAGCGGTTCAACTTGACCCAGTCTGTGGTGGTCAAGGCTTTGTAAGGTGTAATTGTGTTGGAACTAAACGGTGTCAGACCAATCGCTGCAAATGTTTTAAGGCCAAGATGCAATGTAATTCTAGATGTCATTCAAGTCTTTCATGTGCAAACAAACATTCCTGAGTGTCCATCTGACTGCTATTTGTCATACCATTCATGTCATACCATTCATGTCATACCATTCACGTCATACCATTTACGTCATACCATTTTATGAAATAAAAGATTGAACTGTTTAAGCTTATTTCTGTGATTTTTGTGTAAGGTATCTGGTTACAGGAGGTTGTATTTACTTTGATAGCTAATCTAATTTCAAAACTAGCACACATTATAAAAACAAGGCAGAGGCATGCTTTCAGTAAACAAGTATAAAATCCCTTGGTTCATTTCAGTGATTATGTCTAATTACTGAAGATTTCAGTAATTAGACATAACCACCGAGTGAATCAGTTATTAGACATAATCACTGAAATTTTCAGTCATTAGACTTAATCACTGATTATACTTGTTTCCTGTAACATATATATATAAAAAAAAATATGACCGGAAATCTTTCTAGCAAATTAATCCTAAATTTATTCAGTCAAAAGGGGGAAAAGATAAGAACTGCTTTAATTGCACGCACGAAGTATATAGAATTCCATCGTATGTTTATATACACTACAGCATGGCGCATGTTTCAAGCATGTGAAACTAATTACTGCACTGGTCATGTTGACCTTAAAAAACTTATAAAAATGTGGAACAATTCCATTTAAATTGTTTAATTTAAAACATTTTTGGACGAGGTAAATATTTATTCTAAGCGCGTCCAGAGCCGAAGCGCGCACCATGGAATTTCAACACGAGTGTATGAATATGGACAGGAATGTATTTCCTTGGAAGGATTTCTGGGATCATTCAAGACAGCTGACATATTTGACTACAAATATTGTGCGAATAAATCTAAAGCCACATTATATAATCACAAGTACATCGTTTCAGGTTAATAAACATGCCGGCGATGTACATGTCCTCTGCACGACATGTCGACGATGTACGATGTCCTCTGCACGACATGTCCACGACTATCAAACCGCCATGGGTCATCTGAGAAGTGTACATGTCTTCACTATCATATATTGGGAATATTCTTAAAAAATGGTATTTATGACAGACGAATGTGGCACAGAGTAAAGTTATATGCATTCATGATGCATTCATTGACAAACCCTGGTTTATAATGCTTTATTCTCCTCTTAGGATCTCTCTAATCAGGATATGATATAAATAAAATGTGTTTATCCTTGAAACTTTGGTTTTGAAACATATACTGGGAGACTCTAGTCTATGATGCGCACACTTATCTAACAATGGGAATAAAATATAATATGAGCCAAAATTATTCTCTCTCTCTTGCTCTCTCTCGCTCTTTCTCTCTGTCTCTCTCGCTGTTTCTCACTACATGTATCTCTCCCTCTATCTCTATGTCTCTGTCTCTCTATCTCTCTCTAGCTCGCTGTTTCTCTCTCTCCATCTGTCTCACTCTCTCTGTTTCTCTCTATCTCTCCCTCTGTGTCTCTATGTCTCTGTCTCTCTATCTCTCTGTGTTTCTGTCTCTCCATCTGTCTCTCTATCTCTCTGTGTTTCTCTTAATCTCTCCCTCTGTGTCTATGTATCTGTCAATCTCTGGCTCTCCGTGTTTCTCTCTCTGTCTTTCTCCATTTGTCTCTCCCTATCTCTCTATCTATCTCTCGTTCGCTCTCACTCTGTCTCTCAGGTTCGCTTGTCACTGTAAAGACGCAATGGATCCCTCACGTGGCGACAGTTTGTTTAGGCCTATGACTGCAAATTTGCTAAATCGTGCGTAATATCATATTCGCACACACAAACACTCGTAATTCGCACATAAGCACGTTCCTCCATACCTTTACACGTGTGGCTTTGTCTCGAGACATCTTTCGGTGTCTGGGAGAGAGGTATGCGAGTATGTGTCTTTCATAGGTAGGTATACGTATCTATCGCAACTCATACATACCTGTACTTGATACAATTACAGTTCATGCATAATCATTGAATGCGTGCTTTGAATTGCCAATCACACATCCAGTCCGACATACATTTTACTAACGGTGTCAATATATAACTGTCTTTTTCCACGACGTCATTCATAAGCTTATTTCCCAGCATACGCTTGAAATAATCGTTAAAACACAAACGCCATCTTACAGAGTTATTCGTCCAAAATTGTGAGTAAATGTAATTTTATGACCCTGAATGCAACCAGTGATCACTAGCATGAGCAAAGGTCCGCGACATCGGAGCACGACTTGAGAGTATAATAATTACAACGTTAGTTATTATCATATATGCTGTTTAATAAGCGCCTCATAGATAATTGAATCTGATGTAGGTCATTACACAAAATCTTATGGTGACAATTTCTGCAATAACTTACTGCACTTGGCTACGTTTCGACCTGATTATGACCCTTGGCCTGTCAGCGATTGTGGGTTTGCTTACCTCTGGCTTTTCTATCAAGGTTTCACAATTGAGGTTGTCATGTCAGACATTGTAAAGCCTTTGCCACTCAGGACCGTCGCTTGTCACCATGGTACGCCAGGGTTTCCATACAAGGACCTTTACATGGAATATTCACACCTTACTCAGTTGGACATACTTTTATAATAATCGTGTGTGTGACAGGTGCTACCGGTAGGGCAGGACATGCTGACATTTTTTGCGAACACCTGGTGTCATCACTGATTTTCGGTGAACCATTCATAAGATTTATGCCAAATGGAAATTGTTTCGACAGATATTCGCGACTCATTTTTCTTTGGCGTTGACGTGTTGAATTACATCAAAGACTTGCGTCAGTTGTCTTTCCTTCTATATTAAATTGACACGCCGTGATGCATGTTATTTGGGGTCAAACCGGCGTTAAACCAAACTCACTTACTCACACACCCCAAGGACTTTCATCCCACAGCTTACATGTCCTTATTCAACCCACTGTTCAAGGCGGCTTATTTACCGAAACGTCCCCTTGTGTAAATATGCAAATTGGCATCCATACACTTGTTTGTGATAATAAAGTTTATAGTGTAATACAGGAACATTTATAGTGCTAGCCAACTGAGATGCCATGCCGCTGTTTAACATAAATACCCCACTCAGATACAGTATACTGATTCCGAGCCGACCAGTCCTTGTTGTAACGCCTTAATGCCGAGCGCCAGACAGGGTAACATCAAGTACCATCTTTTAACGTCTTTTGGTATGACGCGGCCGGGGCTCGAATACCGCACCTTCCGCTCTCCGGGCGGACGCTCTACCACTAGACCACGGAGGCGGTCTTTGGCGCACGGGAGCAGCCGTGTTTTTTTTATAGACCCGACCGTCTTGGGAAACTCCGGAGCTTCCAGCTATCGCTTCAATAGTTGGCTCAGTAGTCTTATGTGACTAGCAGAGTTACTTCCCTTTGACGTGTAAGGATGCGCCAGTCGTGACTTCGAATCTTAGAAATTTCATATATTGTGGCTGACATTAAGCAACGTCTGTCACTGAGAGTCCTTGGATGGATGACCCTGTTCGGCAGCTTGGCTCCCGAGAGTTTCTAGGGCTTCGGTCCTGCCCCACACTGAAGCACATGTAGCACATGTGCCGTCTCCATGGGCAAGTGACTTTGTTCGAAATGTGCCTCCGATCACCCAGCAGTGAATAGGTACCCGGTAGTATGAGATGACAATGCGGTTGTTAACCTTCTAGCGCCTAACAGGCAGCTTGGGTTGTATACTCCCCAGGGAGCTGAGATTGATTCTGGAGTGCACACTGATCCAGTGACCGGGGTAATAATAGCGCTTTGAGTATGCCCCTGAGTGGTGTGGAAATATACGCAATATCAGTAGCCTTTTATTATCATTATTATCAACACCATACCCGTGCTGGTGAGTTTCATCAATGTGGTAACTGTAACAAATATGCGTTGCCTTTCAATTAGGCTGATTCTCTGTTATATTCCTGAATATATGGCTGACACGATCCCTGGTAGCATTGTTCCATGTCGATACTTGGCTTAAACTTGGCCAATGGTTGCTTATTATATAAACAAGTAATACACAATTGTCGATTGTCGATTGTCTCTT